TCACGAGCATATTAATTACATATTAGTTCGTATAAGAAGCTCTCCTGTAGTAACATAATGTCAAATCCACATTCATCATCGTGTAATAAATAGGATTGAGAAATTCAGATAGACAATACTTCGCTATCTGCATACAGCTCTAATCCAAGACTATGATTTTGATTCCCTTAAGGAAAGCCTCAATGGACGACATTTCTAGACAACAGTCGTTAGTGAAAAAACCACAATAAATGGAACAAACTGTCAGAAATCCTGATATTGAAGAAACTAGTTTCTGAAAAGGTGAGACTGAAGAGAAGACACGAACGTGTCGAAATTAGTTTCTCCAATATCAAGACTTCTGACAGTTTGTTCGATTTACAGCGGGTTTTCACTAACTGCTACATAGGATACTGTGTTCTTCCATTACAACTGTCGCTCTTAAAGCAGCTGCATGCAACTAACTGGAAAAATTACAACTGCGTATTACCGAGCTAATCCGATGAAATTTATGGAATGATGCAACGAATTTGTCGCGCTAAAGAGAGATTATGCTGAAAAGTGACGTGTGCATGATTCCTCATATAATTGGTGTAAATTTGTTGTTTGTAATTTGATATGGTTGATATATGACACTTAAAATCCCGTTTCTTTCTGAACATCAGTAACACGTGAACTTATATTTGTTGAATGTGTTTAGCAACGGTATAAAATTTTCTTTATCATGACTATCAAGAATTTGGAAAATAGACCATTCTTGATACGTAAATCCTGAACAGAATTTAGTATTTTTCAAATATTTAATAAAATGCGCATTGTCTCTAATTTAACTCTAAAAGTTTTAGAACATATGAATCCTTTAGCAACATCATAATATTAACACATATCTAGAGTTGTCTCCATTATACCTATCTTATTCGCTCTATATAGCAGTATTAAGCTTTTTTGTGTCAGAGATAATTGAAATACCTTAACAAGATAATTTTCAATTTATGTACAGTGATTAATCGTGAAATATCAGATCCCTATTAGTTTCCAGTCTACTAGTAGCATCAATAAACTACGTCACATCGTAACTTAAATTTGGGTGTTTTTTGTTAGAAAATGTAAATAAATTGGCATATAAATGTTAACTAATTGCGTCTAAAGATATAAAAAATAAATACTTATGACGAGCTTTATATTTGGCCATCACGAATCGTTACTAAGAAATAAAATGGTATAAAAGTTACCTTCAGTTTATGATATCTCAGATAGATAATTTTAGCATTTTAAACCTGAAATACACCTAATGCGACACACGGGCTAAACGAACAGGACCAATAAATATCCGGCATAACCATTCCTAATTTAAAATTTCTGACTAAGTGAGTGGGGGGGGGGAGCAGCCAATCAGCACCGTTCACCAATTACACGGCTACTAGTAAGCGAATAGTGGATTAACTGCCATAGCTATAAACAGCTGAAAGTATGAAACATATTCAGAGGCATATCTCGTTTCCATTACTTTCAATATGAGCAAATATGTTTAATTTTTAAGCCTATTAAGAACTACAAAGCTTTATTCTTTCTTTCGCTATATAAGAGTAAGGTATGCTTATAAAAATATAGTCCACATCAAGTTCAATTTGAGTTACACTTATAAAGTGAGATATATACTGATATTTCTATATAGTCCCGAGAATCCGAAATCAGTTAGTGTTTGACATCCGTTGTTAAGAAAATGAGATATTTTCTATCGCTATAGAAATCGAGAGTTTACTATTATATTATTTTTCACTTACAATAGACCGAATTGTCCTTTATTCACGACAATTAACAAAGCTATTAACTACTAAAACCTCGGTAAGGGAGCTTAGTTTATAGTTGTCGTCGTAAATAGAAACTTTGTGTCTCCATAAGTTGAAAAAAATCATTAACACTTACTGACGAAATTTGATTTTTACCTCAAATTGAGAAAAAAAATCCATGACAGTCATTTATGAAATTTATTTTGCTTGTGCAATAATGATCACGAGAAAATATCACTGTCCTTGCAAGCATGTTTCTATCATTAACAAAAAGCTAAAGGTGCATTCATATGTTTTAACATCTTTATATACTTATAAAAATGATGAACTGTAAGTGAATGAGTTACATAACTACCATATATTTTGTAAATTCTTGAGTATAAGCGAAGAATATTTGTCATAATGAAACTGGGAAATTTTGGTCCTGATTTAGAAAACAGTACACATGATGAACTAACTGAAAAGAAACGTGGTTTTATAGCTATAAAGATAATCACAAAAACCAAAACTAACTGAAAGCAGTCTGACACATTAGTTCATGAGCGTGATGGAACACTGCAAGATTTTGAGTAGAAAAACATGAGCAAACTTTCTACAAGCTCGTTTACTATATCCGAAAACTGACCGATAGTGCCTCCATACAATCTTATGAACATTATAAATTACGATTGCTCTTCAAAGTACGGCCTAAGAACAAAATAAAAACATGTACGTTTAGATTACTAAAAATAATATATATCAAAGGATACTTCTGAGAATACTTGTCTAGGAATTTACGCTCGTAAACATACTTACGAATACTCAAACAAGAAAAATATAGTTTCAATTTCCTAATCAGAGCACTATCGTTAAATCTGTTAAATGTACTTGCTGTTATGGGTCTCTGGAAGATAGTGATTTTGTTGTTTTGTCTAAATGTGAAGCAGTTTGTTATGTTTTCGAAGCGAAAGTAGTTTTTTATTTTTAACTGGAAATAACAAAATACTGTCCATATCGAGTTTATGTATTACTTTGTGTGTAGGTATTGTTAAATATGTTCAACTAAAGCAGTCGTAAAATGAAAATTCAATTGACGTTTCTCTGCAAGAGCATTGACACCATTTCTTCATTTTCGTACGTTTGCTATGTGTTTGATTATAAGGCACTTTTAATAAATAATGAGCTTGTAGGTTTAGGTAAAATGGGATATGATAAAAGAGTTAGACTATACTCCAACTTTCTTTCTCAAGAAATGTATGAAACATTGATTGTACAGGTATGCTATATATGTTGTTTTTGGAATAAATATTTTGAAATGATAGAAACTATCTTTATTCAATTTTTGAGCAGTTGATTCAAAGTATAGAGCGAGTTTTGTTCTATCTAACCAGATTCATCGGAAAAATATTTTAAAAAATTGAAAGTGTAGGTACACCAAAAAGTGAGGAAACAAGGTGGGAATGGGCACAGTGTAATAAAAGTTCCTCAGTACATTCTAACAAGGAGGCGTGTCCAACATCTGGTCCATGCCTACTTTGTTTATTCTTTTTATTCTATATAAAGTAAAACAGATGGACTAAATTTATCAAACTTAGTTATGCTTATCATACAATGATTAGAAGTTTCGTGAATCGAAATACTCGAGGAAATACATGTACTGTAAAGTATGTTTATACAACACCAGAAGAATCAGTTGTGGACCCATAACTTGTATGCTCTTTCTTTACATCTTGTCCCTCCTTTTCCAATTGCATAACAATACAACAGGATTCCGTACATTAGCTACATGGGTGTATGGAAATACAAAAGTCCTAAGAGATTTCTGCATATCGACGTCATGGATTTTTTACTATCTATACAAAAGTATAAACTCATAGACACATATTTGTGTCTACCCATAAGTTGTATAATATCATGAACACAGTAAAACGAAGTAGGCATCGACCGGAGGTTGGACACATCCCCGTGTGAGGTTGTACAAAGGAAGTTTCATAACACCATGCCCATTCCTACATTGTTTCCTCACTTTTTGATGCACCCATTCATACACTTTCAAATATTTATAATATTTTTTCCACTTATTCATGCACTTTTTTTCATACAAGGTGACATGGTCTTATGCATCATTCTTTCATTTGTGTTGATATCCTGTATTTATAATATCATTAGTGTTGTTGTGCTACGTATTAAATGCTTCATGAATGCAAACTTGATTTAAATTACAATACATATTATAAATTCCTTGCAAAGGAACGAGCTTGTATTCTAGCCTAGATAGTGAAGCTTCTTTTAATGCTCAATCTACGTTGGCATACCCTATACCACTCACAGTTTCCAGATTTTGTCACACAGTGCTGTACATAGAGAAGACCACACCTCTTCACTGTTTTATTTGGCCATACCTACTCAATATATAGAGTGAGCGAGTGGACGTATGTATTTTACAATGGCGTCCCTGTTCAAGGGACTAAACTGTTTTTGGTTATGTTTAGTACAGGAAAACGCTAGCACTAGCATGTGGTCCCTGAGATATTGCTCTATTTGGTGTGCTTATAACTATGGTAAGTCTGTTTGTTACACAGCTAAAACCATTCAAAAATGTCAGTTAGTCAGTGAGATTGAGAAATTTGTAGTTTTGTGATTTTTTTGTATCTGCTCTGCTGACTTTCTCAAGCGGTTCTATGACTTGTAATTTTGTATGTGGTTTGTTTATCACCTGAGGGTGTTTCTCAAATACTTTGAAGATTTATTAATTGGTTGTTAAAGGTGTATATGAGTAAATAGCTTGTATTGTATGTATTGTGTATCCAACTCACTCCGACTATAAGTACTACCATACTTATAATATCTGTTTATTTTCAATCTAATCGACACATAAGCTAATCGGCCAGATGAGAGACCAAAAGGTTCAGGCGTAGGCTCCCTAATATAGAGTTACTGGTCAGTGGAGGCAATCAGTTAGCAATATCCATCGCTTACATGACTACTCTTAACCGATAAAAGGATTGGTTGTCACTTTTTAAACGTGCCCACAAATAATAGTGTGGAGAGTGTTCATCGAACACCTTACCGATACGCAGCCTGCTACAGTAACCACTATGCTACGCTCGGTTAATTTCTAGAAGCTTATGAATTTTTAATTTATTCTTCCCCCTAATTATTATAATTTTTAATACCACCCTGTTTTTAGAGGCCTTCCTTTAAAAAATAAATATATGAAAAAATGTAATCTAAATTAAATAAATACACCACTACCCGTACAACATTTTACTAAATAGCACAATGGTAACCTTTCGGTTTACCAAAAGATATCGTACAATTTTCCAGTTCTTTTTTTAAAGTATGAAGTTGATAGTAAACTTCCAAAAGGTCTTTTGTAAACAGAACATAAAATCCAGAAATAAGATTTCAATATAAAGAAATAGTTCAGAAAGTAAGTTATAAGGGTCAGGGCCGTTAAAGTGCAAGATGGGTTAGTCGTCGTTTTATTTACCCCAACCTTGAAAGAGACCTTGTCTTTGGCAACGGCAGTTTGTTCCCCACAGGTTACAACGACAGGAGGAACCCCCACAGCAGGAGTTAGGATGAACGTCACAGCTTCTTCCGCGGGAAATGCACGTTCTCCTGTAGAATATATAAATTTGTATATGGTATTTTATTTGTAAAGAATGGTGATTAATTTATGTCTAATAAAAACTATAGAAGAAATAACATGTACGTTTTGCGAGTCGATCTTCTGCGATTGTAAAAGCTTTCAAATATTATGGAGATTATTTCTTAGTGATATGCCGAGACAGAAAGTGATTTTGTAAATATATCTAGATGTATTATTTTCTCTGTAGACAATGGTGAATTTTTTCTTAAAATCAACATGTAAGTTGATGTACCTTAATTAGGAACACTGTCGTAAACACAACAGCAACTTGTTTTTCCCATTAACAATAGTTTTTGTTTTCATAAAGACTTTTGCCATGAATACATTGGGCAAGTCCTTTTTGTTGAAAGCTCAAATCATGTGACATTAAAATACCAGAAAACAGAAAAAAAATTACTTACTTGTAAGAATAAGGCAAGAGATTCTGCAGTTTCTTTCGATATTCTTCAAGTTGTTCGTCTTCTGGAATGCAAGGAGAAATATCTTAATGTATTGTAAGTAGCTTATAAAAACATTTAAACAACACACGAAAGAAAAATATAATTATTTTGTCGAAATATCTTAATGTATTGTAAGTAGCTTATAAAAACATTTAAACAACACTCGAAACAAATAAAGCGAGTAAGGCACTTTTGAAGAGCTCAAGCTACTACATATGAATAAGCCACAGATAAACGAAAAATATGTCGGACTTCAACTTTGTTTAAGGATTTAAACTGTTTTACACTGAGTAAAATTAATCATATTTTTATATTTTATCTTGGCTGTAAAGGGAAGGCGTTTAAACCTAGAAAAAATAATATGGTATATTCATTATGGAATTTGGATTTTTGTTTTGGTTTTATATATTATAAGTAGCATAAAGTTTTATTAGAACAAATCACCGCAATCATAATAAAAATAAAATTTAGGTAAAATATGTGGAATGTCATTATTTTATACTTGAGTTTTCTATATACTATACCTTTATATAGGTTCTTAGCTGCCTTTCGAACAAATTTTTCCATTTTTGTGCTCATTCTAATGACTATGATTACGTGACATTTTCCGACGCAGCGATTTCCATAGTAACAAACTTCTCCAAATGACCGTAAGGTCAATCTTAGACCACAAATGTTGACAAATTTTCCGAATGTCTTCCACTATACTTCACTGTCAACTTCTAAGATATGCTTAAGTAGATTAATGGCACAAAAATCCATTGGAGCTTCACTGGGAGTCTTGACCAATGCGATGGACAGGGATTGCCGTAATTCTAGTTTGAGGTTATTTCCTCATAAAAATAGCCATTGATTTCGAGATGTGACTAGAGCTTTGTTAGTCTTTGTCAAATTAATATTGCTGTTCATTGTTAATATGCCAATCTTTATAGTTATGGCTTTTTGAGGTGGAGATTTCTCGTAACCATAGCCATAACTTTGCAGATAAGTGCGTTACTCCAATCTGTTTTGGAATGTTACTGTTCTACAAGCTCGTCTGTGCGAGTTGCTACAGTTTTATAAGAACATTGAGGGCTCCCTTCTTTGAAATATTGTATTCTTCGACAGTATATCATTTAACAATATCATTATATTAATTTCTCTTTTCGAAAATGTTTTCACATAATACTTTAGATGTAAATTAACTACGGAGACCCTGCATTATACAGGCCAGCAATGGTTTTATTGTCTTGAACTTTTTACATGTTCTACAGTAATTCCTGTACGCTGAATCCGAAAATGATGTACCATTTTTCTACATCACGTACGCCTCACAGAGGCCCAGCGGTATGTCTGCGGAGTTACAACGCTAGAATCCGGGTTTCGATACCCGTGGTGGGCAGAGCACAGATAGCCCATTGTGTAGCTTTGTGCTTTATCACAAACAAACAAAACAAACATCACGTATAGATTTTCACAAAACGGCATAACGCAATACATAAAAAAATACCACAACACGTAATTTTGAGACTAAAAATTCACACAAAAAATCAGGATGAATGGGGATGCATATTCGTTTGACATCAATGTTTTTCACTTTTCTTCAATTTGTTTCTATTTTTGTTAAGAAACCTAATAATAATAAAAAATGTTCATTGTGGTAAACGAAATAATAATTTGATCTAAGTAGGTTTTTCTTCCCGATTTGTAAAAAATTCCTTACGTGATAGGAAAAATGAATATTATTTTCGAAATATGCGTAGCTGAATTATGAAAAATCTGTTATATAAACCAAAACAACTTTTTATGAAGTTTAAATTCACAGGCCTGTGTTATCAATAAGTTGATATTAAACAACCACTAACGAGCTGCTATTTTCCTAAATCATATTACATAAAACATATTGCTGGTCATTGCTATTAGTAACCCGTTTCTAGCAGCTCCTTTATTGTTAAACATTTAAAAACATGTGTAAAGTTAAACATTACAGCACACCGACTTCTGTTGCTGGTTGTTGATTGTAGCTTTTAGTAAATCGACAATAAAAATTCAATAATCAACTAATTATTTATTTATAAATAAGTTCACATAACGACACCTACATTAGGTTATTGCGGCAATGCTGTTTGTAAACCAAACCAAGCGACCAGCAAACGGCTCTTATTTACAGTCAAGGAGTAGTTTCTTGCGTGTTAAACGTTGACATTTACAGCCGGTTGTTGATTGATGTTATTTATAAATTGAAATTAAGAAATCAACAAATTAGCAGGTGATTTTATGCCAGTAAACATTTATACACGTCGACGTTTACAACCAGTTCCTTGTTGTTGTATTTAGTAAGTTGATAATAAAACTAGAGATGAGCAGCAGTTTACATGATATAGAAACAAGACTAGAGTTTTAAACATTAGATTGTTCTCAAAATAAGAATTACTAGGCTTATGAAATACTTTCATAAAGGTTTCCTTCGTCTAATACCTTTTTGGGATAAGTGTTGGCTCATGCATATTTAATACTAACCTTTGAAGAAGAGATGAAAAATGAAAAATTATAGGAAACACATCAGCGTATAGACTAAGTTAATATCAAACATATTTGGAGGACTAGTTTTACAACGGCTTCAAATTAGGTTATTAAAACAATAATATACATACACGAAGCTTTTTAGCGGTTCAATGAGCGTGTGTTATATTAGTAAAAGGGTGCTTTCAGCGATATTGTATTGCGGATATATATTATGGTATTTCTCTGTGTATCGCCGACACAGTAACTATAAAACATTCTTTATGAATTCATAAAAGTCTAACTAGCAATATTAATATGGAAATTACGAACAGTATACTCTTAGTGTTTTTTTTTTTCGTTATGCACATTTCAAAAACTTCAATAATAGAATAATGTTATTCAAAGCTAGCTGTATAAATTAGAACTGAAGGAAGGGTTTAATATTACGACACCAAAATCTTCCTAAAGAAAGCCGTTGTTTATAACTTTTAGGTGTAATAACCTTAAACACCTCATCTGATTTTTTAGACTAATTTTTATTTTATTTTCGACCCCCAATTGGCACGGCGGAATGTCTGTGGACTTACAACGCTAGAAACCGGGTTTCGTTACTTGTGATGGGCAGAGCACAGATAGCCCGTTGTGTAGCTTTGTGCTTAATCCCAAACAGTCAAACTTACCGAAGTGTTACTACTCTTTCAATATAAAAAAAAAGAATTTAATAACGTTGAATTATATTGCTTTCCTGTGATAGAAATTTTTCCGATTTCTTAACCTTAACCTGAGAATGTTAAAATAAGCTTTGCTCTTCCTCTTTTTTTTTTCTTTCTACATTTAAAAAAATAGAGTAAGTTAACTTTGTGATAATGTTTACAATTTATATATCCATTTTATAATAAAGACTATTCGATTTTTCCAAAACACCTTCAGTGCAGATTGAGAACTGTTAATATGTGTAACATACTAATTATGGGGTTTATAATCACAGTTAGAGATTACATCATCAGAAGACATAGTGGGTGAATGGATTATAACCCCTATTGCCGTTTAACTCCACTAAATCGTCCAGAGATCCAATTAAATTGTCGTGTCCTATTTTTCAGATATTTTTAGATTTTTTTTTGCAGTGATGATTTGTTAATTGTTATTCTTTTATGGTTATATTGTATAGCTTGAAAGACATTTGCTTGGATCTCTATACATCAAACTTAACGTGTGCTTTTATTCTTCAATAACCCCATTACCAAAGGGATTTTGAAATATTTAGTTAAAATAACTTCATTTATTTACTTATGAAAAATATATAAACCTCTGCTGACAGGTAGTATATTCAAAATTAAATTTAATACAAGAACTAAAGATAGGTTTGAGAGATCATGTAATTATCAGCCGAAATTTAGAAAACGAAATGAAAACGTTTAAAAAGTATACTGTAATTTGATATACAGAACGTTTCAAATAGTTGATATTTATAGTTGCTCAACTACTTCGTCGTTTCATAACCTTGGTCTTCATTAATATGTAATGTTGAAGTAATAGTTCGTATTAGAACCTTTCAAAGAATATATTTTAATTGGCTCAAAGTGCTAGCATCAAAATACATGCATAAGAAATTAAAGAGAGACGAGCGTGTGTGAAAGGCAGATGCTACTTAAATCAAATAAAATTGGCATCATAACACGGATAACTCTCAGAAGGTTATTGAATTCAGAAGAGTCTGTGACAAGGCCAAAGCCAAACTGCCCAAGCGTAAAATACTAGTAGAAGTTGTACTAAAATCACATTATTTACGTTTAATACCTGCCGAAATGAAAATGATTATGTAAAAGATTGATACGCAGTAAATAGAAATAATAAGATATAAAGTGTCTTTGTTTTTTGACGGTTAGTGGTTCGTAATCAACGCTACCTGGGATACACAAATGAAAAACGTGCAACGATGGGAGAGAGAGAGAGAAAAGCCTGTGCTTTGGTCAGTGCTAGCAAATAAATAAAATGTAATATTTCTGTTAGATATTTATGTCTAGCTTCATTCACTTGTACAGGCATTATCTTTAGATACTGGCTAAAACTCGCGTAATATAAAAAATAAAGCTTCAAGATTTATAAGTTTCACATGTAAGCTTCTTCTGTCTGTGTCTATCCAGAACTTTTTGTTCAGCATTTAACATTTATCAACGATATGGAATTTTTGCGTGCGATCAATAACACAGACCTTCATCTGTTAAGTACCATTTAGAAAAAAAAACATATTGTAAGAAGTATTCTTGTTGGTTCTGTTATTTTGATACTTACCGTTTGAAGTGTAAGAAGAGCCTATGATCGTGTCTGCTAGCATCACCAAGCCAAATATTACAGCAATGGCAAAGTAGTTCATGACGGAGCAGAATACGTTGTAATAGCTGGAAAAGATAAAGAAAAGATTACAGCTATTCATAAGCAACAAAAACTTGATTTCCTAACCTTTACCATCAAATTCTATGATACTATAACAGAAAGTCGTATTTCCTAAGTTCTCTTATAATCATTGACTTCGTTAATCAGCAGAAATTTTTCTAAAGGTCAATCATACTTTTTTAATTAGCCTGGTATGACCCTGATGGTTAGGGCGCTCGACTCGCAATATACAGGTCACAGTTCGAATCCCGTCACCGATCGTACTCGCTCTTTCAGTCGTATGGGGCGTTATAATGTGATGGTTAATACCACTTTTCGCTGGTAAAAAAGTTACTCAAGAATTGGCTATGGGTAGTGTTTATTACTGTCTTCTCTCTCTAGTGTATTAATCTAAATTAGACAGTTAGCGTTGACAGATCTGCGCGAAATTCCAAAAACAAATAAACGTTTGTAATATCTTAATTACTGTATTTATTGATAAACAAATTTACTTTGGCATCAAGTTCAGTGATTGCATGTGCCTAGTTTTGTTAAGTAAAACTCATTAACACTTGGAATAAGTTAAATCTAGTCTGAATTTCAATTGGATATTCGGTGTTACGTATCATCCAGATTCTGTATATCCTTCAATATACGTAAAAGATACTAATCTTGTATATCGCTTAGCTGTTAAATCGTATCCATTTCCTGCAATGGAAACACATAATCCTACATATTTGGCCGAACGCGGCATAGCTCTTAGCTTGCCAGTATATGGAGTTGAAGGTCCCTGTTTTACTTCACGTAACCGAAAAAGAAAAAAAAACACAAACAAACAATAACAATAAAAACAAACAAAACAAAGTTCCGTACTTTGGGTCCGTGGTCGTATTATATGAAAGGTGATCAAATCCCACTATTTGGTCTGACAGAAATAGCACAAGAGTTGGATGTTGACTAGTTGTTTTCCTCTATTTTGTAACATTAAAATTAGGGACGAAATTTCCGTGAAACCCAGCAAAGCAAACAAATAAACAATGTCCCCCTTCCAGAGCACTGTCACGGACACGTATATGGAACACATTATGTAGAACCTTCATTCTAGCCATGATAAGTACGTTCTTAACCGCACTGTACAAGAAAAGGTATTATTTTATAAACTTCCCAAAGTTTCAGATAAGCAGTGAAATATTAGAACTCGAGTGTTTTTTCTTGTATATTTAAAATAAATCTGTCACTGGGATAGCTGTTTATAGTAGTTTCGTATGGTATTTCTCACACCTCTAAATTCTGGCGTCCTAGTCCGGACCCGGGTAAGCATGTTTTGGTATGACGGGGATTCGAACCCGCGACCTGCAAATTGCGAGTCGAGTGCCCTAACCACTGGTCATGCCAGACCTAGCTATTTATATATAAACGTGAAATAGTAAAAGCTGCATTTCTTGGTTTAATCAAAACTAATTAACGTTTTCAACTGTAAATGAAATAACAAAGTCGAGGAGACTATATGTTCAATTTGATCTCAACAATTTTTTAAATATGGTAATTCAGAAAATAACGTGTTTAATCTCATTTATCAGAAGCCGTCCTAACAGTTAATGAAAAGTACTGCTTTTAGTAAAGATGTTCGTAAATCTCCACCATATGTGAAATATGTAATGAAATTATTTCGCGGCTCTGAAATAATTAAAAAAAAATCTAATTTCATGAGCAAGAACTAAACATTTCTCGGCCTGTAAGTATTAACTTGTTGAATGGTTTTGTTTTCCGTGATTTTTTGGCTGTAAAGGCATATATACAAGAGCAAAGCTCTTACGACAAACTAAATAATAACACGTAAATACACATACAATGAATATTTTCTAGGAATTTTAGGAAATACAATGTGCTTTGATATATTTAGCGAACTAGAAATGTTCGATTAGCAAATACATTTCATCTCTTGAAAAACAGCTTTTAGGTTCTGTCGAATTCTTTCACGTGAAAAGAAATATTCCAATGTATGTCAATACCGATATATATATATATATATATATATACAAATAATACATATTGTTTTGATCCAATATCCTTCAAGTCTCTCGACCACAAAAAACCACACCACTAAAACGCTTTTGTAGATATCAGATTAGGAATCGGGTTAGTTTTATATATAAAAATAGCAAAGACACAATACTGCGGTAATAGTAATTTACTTCAGTTTTCTAACCAAACAAAGTTTGACTCAATTTCTAGTTTATTTATATGCATTCTTTTGTTTTTTATGATTGATAAGAAGTAAATTTTGTCTGTCCCTGTTGGACTGCAGTTATGGTTTTAGTGAGCTTTGTTTTACTGCAACCCTTGAGAAGACATTAACTCTACGTTCTATGGCTAAGACTTGATGTCATATGATGAATAGCTTCTAGGAGGATATAAGGTTTCACATCAATCAGTTTTCTTCTTATTGAGGTACATCGCATTCAACAACTGCATGATTGATGATTAACTGAATGGATACTTTTTTCAAGCAGTTTTTATTAAGATATTTTCCAATTTCCTAAATAAATATTTTCTGTAATTGTTTAGCGTTTTGTTCACAAAATTTCTATTCTGGTTTGTTTGTGGACGTTTTTATTATCGGGTAAACTATATTTAGAAATATTAAAGATAAGTCATAAACAATACTTGACTGAGTATTGTTAACATTATTATTCTGTACGAGTGGCTGAAGGCAATGTTCAAGTTACAGAGGTCAAGTATGTTATATCAAAACTATTTTGGAACGTTACCACGTCATTACAGTCCATGTCACTACTTCCGTCCGTGCACTGTCTGACGAATGTGCATCCTAATAATAGCACTGCAATTTAATTTACATTGCAAAGACTTTGTTGTTGTAAAGTTGTCCACTACATCATCCATACTTTCCATAATCTTGATAATGTACGATGACATCAGTTTCCCAGTGCTAGTTTCGATCATACAGAAATCCAGCACTTGACTGGTATGTCTTTGTATGGAGTGACATGAAACACCCATTTTATTCTTCAGTTGCTTGACGTATATGATAGTTGAAGTTTGACGAATATGTTGTGGAAGCAACTTGTGTCACTTTTCCATATGGAGAACCTTCTTGGTTATGTAGTGTGCTGTTGTCTGGGGCACGTGGACGGATTTTGTCACTGAACTTTGGTTCATTAAATCTCACTGTTTCAAACACGACGCACTTTTCTTACCACAGATAGAGTACGACTTGTTAGAGATCTATGTTTTAATGGTCCTGAAGGCCCAAGGTGATCCATATTCCTTTGTTTTCTGGTGCCATTAAGTACAAGAGATATCTTTGTTTTCTCAATTCTAAATCCCAAATCTGAACACATATTTATGATTATGTGTATGAATATTTTGAGTCGGAAAGGGCTGTTACATATCTTTCTCAAAATGGCTGCGGTTGTCACGTGACTTGCTGATTTTCATTTTGAAAATTGCTTGAATATAACGTATTAAACCCTATGTATAATTCACAAAGGTATGAATGAAATGCAAATTTATTTTTCTCCTAGAGAGAGATGTAAACAGATGAGATATTTTAATTACAAAAAATATTATGTGATTCTTTGAATTACATTCTAAGATGAACTGTCGTATCAATAAAAGATTCTTTAATTAAAGAAATAATATATATTATATATATAAACATCTTTAATTATTGATTGTCTTATTTTTCATAATTTATTATCCATTTGGTTTGTTTGCTTGTTGTTAAACACGAAACTACCAAATGGGCTATCTGTACTCTGCCCACCACCGGTATCGAAACCCGATTTTTAGCCTTATAAGCCCTCAGATTTGCAGATGAGCCATCAGTTGGCATTCATCTAGGACTAACAAAAGTTCCTGTCGGAAAGATCGATTGTTTTATTTATGTATTAAGGAATCTACCACGTAGCAGGAGAATATTTTAGACGTTTCCAAAGTTACTTTAGAATCATCACATACCACTCTTTAATATGTTACGCCTCAACATAAAACGAATAAGGAGAAGAATCGATTGTTAGATGAAGATACACCATCGATCTACTTTGTTTCCGAGTAAACGTTCGGTAAACCACGGACATACGACATATGTTCTTTATCCTATCAATCATTCAGTGTAATCTACAAATCATTATTCCACTTTACAGCTGTAATGGCACTACAAGACTGTTAAATGAAAAAAATACTCTTCTAAAGCAGGCGGCTGTCAGTGCGCTGATTTAGTATGTGAATTCATTATCTATCTGTCGGTCTCTAGGCATTAAACAGAAATAGTTCGAGCACAGTATAGAAATGAAAAACAATAAAAAGCCTTATCTTACATGCTTAGAAAAGGTGAAGACAACTTGCCTGTGGTATTTATACTATATATTCAAACCACGTCAAAGACAAGTATTTGTTGTAATTACACAGAGCACTTTGAAGTTTGGTAGACTTGCTTAAACTTGTAACATTAGTCACACACTAGACAAAGTCTCTACGTACTTTGTTTTAATCCAGCGACTCATTTTTGCATCGAGTAATCATTTTTACTTTTGCTTTATACTTCAAAGTTTCGTAAAGAAGTTGGAATTTAAATTGTCTTTGTTTTCTAAATTTACCATAAACTAATATTGTGTGATATGTAATATTAGCAGCAATAAATAAGTTATCAAGAAGGTTAAATCACATCTAACATATACGTCTACGACAAATTATTACTAGCCTATAAAATCACCAAAGACTAATCACTAATTAGTAACTATTTTTTATAACTAAGTACTAACTACCTCATATTCTACATTTTGGTTGCTAATTAACTGTCGTATTCAAGAAAGTCTTGAGAAATACTATTTCTTTGTTGGTAGGACTCGATCGTTGATTGTTTTGATGCGAGTCTGGTGGTTTATCCACTCAACTGTTTATATATTTTCTGTATATTTTCAGAGAGAGAGACCTCTGAGACAAGGGATGTATGTTTGTAATTTTCTTCCTGTTCATGCTTGGTGTTTATATTTTTTATTTTCTTATTTATCAAGTGTTCAGGATATCATCCATTGTAAGAAGAGTTGTAGTGATGTGTTGTTTTTCTTCCCATCTTTGTAAAACTGTTTTTTTATTATAAATATTGTTCATCCTTCTATGGTGTATGTGTTATGTGAGTTGGTAGCATCACGTATCTGTGGATTTTCTGTACACTTCTATAGTGTATGTGTTATGTGAGTTGGTAGCATCACGTATCTGTGGATTTTCTGTACATTTCTATGGTGTATGAGTTATGTGAGTTGGTAGCATCACGTATCTGTGGATTTTCTGTACACTTCTATGGTTTATGTGTTACGTGAGTTGGTAGCATCACGTATCTGTGGATTTTCTGTACATTTCTATGGTGTATGAGTTATGTGAGTTGGTAGCATCACGTATCTGTGGATTTTCTGTACACTTCTATGGTGTATGTATTATGTGAGTTGGTAGCATCACGTATCTGTGGATTTTCTGTACATTTCTATGGTGTATGAGTTATGTGAGTTGGTAGCATCACGCCAAGGAATAGAAGTTTGTTATATTTTTCTGCTACCATTGTGAATTGTATCAAGAGCTGTTGTCTGTTTAGGAGGTTCTCGAATTCTTCAATTTCGTCCATATTAAGAACGTATTATCAACATATATATGAGCCACATCTTGAGTCCCAAAGCGAATTTCCGTGAGTTTTATCTATGAAATGCTGTATGCAAAGGTTACTGAGTACTGGTGATGAAGGCGAGTCCATAACTAAGCCTTCTTATCGTTGGTAGTAATTATCTTCATGTTGGAAGTAAGTTGTACTGAAGTTTGTGAGATATGTCATCATGGGGATTGTAAGTTGGACACGCTTTTTAAAAGTTCTATCATTTTAAGCCATTGGCATATATTTAATGTGTCAGAGGTCGGTAGATTAATAAAAAGATTGAATACGTCAAAGCTGATCATTATATCTTATGAGATTATCGGGGTTACTCTTAATATCTATACAAAGTTGGCTGAATTCTTAACATTTTACTGAACAGGGCAACAAATTAGTTTCCGAAATGTAGGATAAAACTACTTATTAATTGATGTATAGTTATAAAAATTAGTCCCTTATTAATAATTAGTCTAAGGTGATCGTATAGGCGACTAGCTATGACAACGATCGCTACAACTTTACCGTAAGTCTTGGCTAAATTTTACAGTTTCTTGTAGCTTCCGCACATCTGTCCTTCGTTCTCATAAATATTATATTACAAGTTATTTCATCTTCTAAAGAAAACAAAGATACAGCTGTCTGTCTTTCATAAGAAGATTCGTTGGTAAAAGAGTAGCCCAAGAGTTGGCGGTGGGTGGTGATGACTAGCTGCCTTCCCTCTAGTCTTACACTGCTAAATTAGGGACGGCTAGCGCAGATAGCCCTCGTGTAGCTTTGCGCGAAATTCCAAAAACAAACAAACAATCAAAAGAAGACGGCAGTGGAATTTAATTTTTAGCTGGGATTAAAAAATAAAAAAATGTTTCAATAATAGAGACAAGAGCAAATTTAGTAATACCGATCAATTCTTGTTACTAGAGCTACCAAATGTTCTCTATTTTAAAATCATTATCTATAGTGTCAATACAACATCGAAGGCGGATCATTGCAAAGCTGTTCTTGGTTCTGGAAACTTTCATCAGCATAGGAAACATACATCGAATAGTAACTCATTATATGGACGTTAGGTTAAACTGAAGTCTACTACATATTGTAAAACAGAAAGCTAACATAAAAAGTTTCCCATGTTATGTTTGGAAATTAGGGAAGATAAAGATCTAACGTTACTTTTAGATTGTCATTTACTGACACAAAGTTGGTTAGGACTGGTTTTTCGGAATATCTTAGCTTTAACTTATTTATTAAATTTTAAGAAGCACAAGGATGAAATTTAGTTCAAAAGGTTTGCTTTGGTCAAGGATGTAAATTAAAAAACAAATATAATACAATCAACATATTATAATAAACTGCGTAATGGAACTCTAACAAGAAAAGATAAAATGTTATTAAACAAAATCATTCTATAAAGATCAGTTTTACTTATATTGTTGTTTGTTATTAAGAACAAAGCTACACAAAGGGCTACCTGTGCTCTGCCCACCAAGGATATCGAAACCTGGTTTCTCAATCTGTGCCACTGAGGAGAGAGGGGGCTTTACGTATATAGACATATCAGTTGTCGTATGTCTGAATTTTTACAATTAACTGTCTTTAATTTGAATTAATATCGTGTATATTTCTCACATGGTAAAATAACTATATCTTTACAGATTTTATTTCTAAGCTGTTAAACAAGCCGATTTTACTTTCTTTTAAACTGTCTTTCCTAAGCCTCGGTTATCTTAGATAATAGGTAAATTATATTTGTTTCTTATAACAAATGTTTGACATTTCATTTATACAAAATAAGTATGCATAAATAATGCTAAAATGTACTTCGATAGTACTGTAATAAAACGGTACAGGCCTACAGATATGCACAGTGCCTGTGGACTTATACTGCTAGAAACCGGGTTTCGATACCCGTGGTGGGCAGAGCACAGATAGCTCTTTGTGTGGCTTTGTGCTTAATAACAAACAACAGCAACCTACATATATTGTCCTGAGTTTTATTTCAGTGACAAGATACTTTTTAAAGCCACTCTATGGATATTTTTGGGTATCTTAAGAAAAATTACGAAAGTTGGTTAAACAAAACAGTCAAACCGTTGGTACAACGAATTGGTTATAGATCTTATAGCTTATAAGTTATAGCTTATAGATCTTAGTATCTGCACTGATATAAATTAGATAGGATTTCTGCCCTCAAGATCAATTTATATATCCCATGAGATCATCACCTTATTAGGAAAATAAATCTCCCATCACTTTTTTTACCAAAGTAACATATTATTATCAACTAGTTAGAGATTATGATGCATGGTAAGATTATATTCTACCCACCAGTTCCACAGTGCAAGATACGTACTAGGCTGTAGGCAGTGTCTACTCAATCTTGGTGTTATCGTTGCAAGAATCATCCTATTCTTATACTTGAGGATTTTATTTAGCACAGGTCGTGTTTTTTTCTGAGCATGCGTAAATATATTGATCAATACAATGTGTGTACATAACTGTTCTGTACTTGTTCTAAGGAGGAGTCCTGTCGGTACGACTATGTTGTTTTTTTTTCTTGTTGTTGTTAATTCAGTGCCAAATGCTGTGCTGCGGTTACAGTGCAAAGAATGATATTAAGTGTCACGTGGTGGAGGAAGTTCTGTTTTATAGAGTTATCTTGTAAGAAATAACCACCACTCCAAAGGCAAATTGAGACTGTACACGATATTAGAAACTGTATAATACTATTAGAAGTGTGATATAATTAAAATATAAGCTGTCTGCGTAAATATATCTCAGGAATAGTGCTTCAACATTCTTACCTTCATTTGAAGGCAAACTCTCCGCTGAAAGTAATGTTACACTAATGCACTCAAATGATAATGACTGCCACAATAATACCACCAACCGTTGGTGGTTGCCATGATAATACCTCCATACACAACGCTAGTGGTTTCCATAGTAATACCGCCAAACTTTTGGTGGCTGCCACAATGATATTGCTAAATGTTGGTGATCCCCACAGTAATATCCTCAAACGTTAGTGGTTTCCACAGTAATACGAGAAAATGTTCGTGGTTGCCACAATAATATGCCAGAGGTTGACGATTTTCACATTATTACCACCATGTGTTAGTGGTTTCCATAGTAATACCACCAAGTGTTAGTGTTTTCTCGAGTAACACCATCAAATGTTAGTGGATGCGACAGTGACATCATCAAATGTTGGTGGTTGTAACATAAACACCATCAATGAATGACGGATGTTCAAGCGTCATTACCAAATCCCTCGTGATACTCTTCTGTCGGTGTATGTCACTTTAAAGTAGAGATTGTACAAAGACGTTTAATCCTGAATGTTACAAGTGAAATTATAGAAACTACAGTTACATTTGATAGTGGGGGAATCTAAAAATAAAGTAAATCAAAATCTGAGCTTATACTTTACTGTCGGGTAAAATGTGAATTTGATTTTAAAAATCTTAAACTAGTATTTTTTCTTTAAAAAAGTAAAACAAAACAACAACACAAAAACAGAACTTTTATAAACAAAGACAAAAAGTGTAAAATTTACCTTAATAAGGATACACAAGAGCTAATTAGAGTATCAGAGAGAATAATTTATTTGCGATATCGAGATAACAATTAAGTATTGTACCTTATATTGTATTCTGTTCATTTATAAGATTCTTATCAGGCAGATAAGAATATAGACTCAAGCTTCTTTGACTAAGCCTGATTTTTTTTTGTTTTTTGTTTGCACTAACACTTTGTTGTTATAAAAGCTGTCTACGACTTTGCTGTTTGGTCGCTTCCTAAAACTACCTATGCAGACAGAGTACAGAGCACGTTCATAAACCTGAAAAAATATAGTATGATAAATCAAATACATTCTTAATTTGTCAGTACATTACTTATTCTTCTACGATATACAAATGTGACGGATTTATTATTATATGTTTATTTTAATATCAGTGTTTGTTTGAATTAAATTTATATTTAGACATATAATATATGCAATATATGTGTGTGTACAAAAACGCTAGTGTTAGCGTCAGTATTGTTACTTAAACTGAAATTTCGAGAAACTCTCCATTCGCCTATAAATATTACCAACGCGATGCGCCAAAAAACAGTATTTGTTATTGGTCTACTATAAACTTCGGAAGCTATAACTATGATTGTTATAACGCTAATTAATCGGGAAACTTCAGATATTTGACCAGGAACGTTTATAAATTTCGGACATTACAAACCATTTAACATCATTTGATTCACATCAGACATTAGTACTTTTACAAAAACATTACTTAACTTTATCGGCAGAAAAAAAATCGGCGTATAATCAGTGAAGATCACAGAGCTAGCTAACTCCCTGTTAAGTGAATTGTACCTATATCAACTCGAAATTAACTCGCTCATCGTGAACCCTCGATAAGACATCAAGGAAGTTGCAGACTAG